CACTTTGCATAATTTAGCAATGGATGAATCTGAGTGATACTGATCAAGGTTGCTCTCTATTTTTTTTTTCTCTCCCCACCTCTCTGCTTATCCCAGAGATAAGTATTATGTGTCATGAAGGCATAATAGTATTGTATCAGCTGATGGCAAAGCGTCACTGGACTTCTTATATAAATTCATATTTCTGCTTTTGTAAACTTCTTTAGACCCAGTCAGTCTGTCAGGCTGCTACGCAGACCGGGGATAATTTAAACCAGAAAAAGTTCTCAAACAATTAGAGAAGAAACAGCAAGTGGACAGCAGAGGTGGAAGAGCAGAAGGATAAAGGTAAAAATAAATTTTTTTAGATCAAGGCGCTTTTTTTGTTGTTGTTGGCTTGTTTTTATTACCAGCCTCAGAATTTATTCAAGGTGGGACATCTGTTTAGGCAATGAGGGGAAAATTATCATTAGTAATAGTGTCAAACTGAGCTGGGCTCAAGGTAGCAAAGGTGTGGTTGGGGAAGAAAGTACATTTTCCTGCTTTGTGAATGTTGCTGAGAGATCAGGCTCCTTGCTGGGGTTTTGGAAGTAAATGGGAAGAGGAATGAGAGAAACAAAAAGACTGTCAGAGCTACCCTAAATTAGATCTTGTTGAAATTCTAGTGAGTGTGGGAGACGGTGCCAGTGGGAGGAGTGTTAAGAGTGCTTACTGGAGTCAGTGAAGTAAAAGTATTCCATGCAGCATGGTTCAGAATTAGTGGTACAGGAAAATAAATACAGTGGTACAGAGAGAGGGGTGAAGCTGGTGTACAGAGGAGTTGAAAAAACCCAAACACCTCTGTTTACAGCAGAAAGAGCTGTACATGGTCAACATTTGTTTGGGTTTTCTCCCTTTCCCCCCAGTCTGTTATAACAATCTTTAGCTTCTTTTCATTGACACTAAGCTTTTCTTCTCCTGTGAGAAAATGGAACGTGCCAGTAACAGATGAAAGCTGTAGCTGTCAGGTGGTAGTTAGTAAATCTTTGCTAAATGCAACTGATAATATTTTTTTAAAATTATTTTATTTTTTGTCCTATCAGCTTTGCAATAACTAAAGGCCAAATTTGGTCTTGGCTTCTTCCTTTTTTTTTTTTTTTTTTCCTGACTAAATAAAATTCAAACTCTGTAGCCTCCTCTTAGAAGCTGTTCCTTCCCTCTGTTTTTTTTTATTGTTGTTGTTCCCTTGTCTCTGGTAATAGCAGAGGCACAATATCTTGTACCATATTATTTATGGTACTTGTGCTCCTTAGTCCCTCTTACAACATGTTAAGTCTCACGGGGACTGATGTTACCTATTTTTCATTCTCCAAAAATCTGAAAACTTGTTTCATCAGCAATGTCAGAAACAATGCCCAGGAAGAGAAAGCTCTTTATTACAATGTCATGATAGATTTTGCTGAAGTGCATGTACAGCTTTCTCTGGGTTGTTTTTTTTGTGACTCTCTGGATTGCATTGCCTCTCCTGAAACTAGGTTTAGGGCATAGATTGTACTTCTTTCTGAATATTTAGAGATTCCTATTGATGCTTATAATCAATATTATTTGAATTTACATTGTTGAGTGTGATGGTGCATGTAACTAAGCTTAAAAAAAGTACATATCTATTTAGCTGCTACTATTAAACTTTTATGTGCGTGAACTTAATTGACAAGCAGTAGTAGCCAGATTTGAACATAAGCTAGAATGTGAAGAACTTGTACAAATCTTAATATATGAAAGTTATGCCATGACTGTTTTTCAGCACCGTCTCCCCCACAAAGTGTTTTCTAGTGCTTGAGAAATTCAACTTTCTGCATCAGTATGAAAACTTTCTAGATCTGTTGAACCACTGAAGCCTTCTAAACTCATCTGTCTTAATCTGTTATAAGTAGACAAGACTAAGCTTCTCTTAACACTTGAATATGGAAATGCAGATCAAAACATTCTCACTTTAAGCAAAGTACAAACTTAATTTTTTTTTTCACTGGGAGGGATTTAGGGTGAATGATACGTGTTTAAAGAGACGGCTACATTTCTGTCCTGCTTCCCTCACACATCACCAAAATGGTGACCAAACACCAGTAAAGAACTCCTGTAGAGCTTTGAAAACCCGGGTTGAAGAAGGTTGTGTTACTGCCCTAACTACTGTTTGTTTTAGGATGCTTTGATCTTTGATAAAAATTGAAGTTTTAAGTTTTCTGAACTTATATTTGCTGAGGTAGGCTTTGTTTTGAAGATTTAACTTTGGAAAGACAAACTTTAACTGGCTTAAGTTATGATAGCCATAAGTGGTGTAATGGTTCATTTACTAGGTTATGTCTTGGTGTTACAGAGTCAAATTCCAGGCAGATCCACTTAAGTCAGAAGCTTGATCCAAATTCATCTGAGGTAATCTTAAAGAAAAGACCAAATTTTTTTTTTTAAATGTTATTGCTTCTCTGATACATGATTAGCAGAGCACTAGCTGCCTTTAGAGCTGTGGCTGCTGCTGCTTTACAGCTTGTAGTGAAACACTTCTAAGGCTGGAGGCTTGTGTTGCTGTCAGCTTTCCTGTAACTCGTACTTAACAGTCTTTCTCTGCAATCTGAGTTCTCAAATCTGGGCTGTAGAGAACACTTATTAATCTGGATTTGTAATTGCTTAGTACAGTCTGTACTTGCAGTATGTTGGGACTACAGAAGATTTGATATTTACTAATAGCTGCTGTGCTAGCAGACCACCATCTCTGAAGTTCAGCGAAGATTTGTGGCCTCTTGTTGGCTTTTAACCTTTGCTGTCCTTTGAATGAGCAAAATGTTACACTAGTATAACAGTGATTGGGTGCTTAGCCCACTTTGTATGTAGTGTGGTTTAGTATCTTTGAATGCCTCTTTGAAAAGTAAATCTCACCGTTGGACTAGCCATGTCTGTTGTTTCTAACTTTGCTTTAGAAGAATAGTCAAGATGAGAGTTATCCAAAAGCTTCATCTCCTTTGGAACAAGTAAAAACAGATTCTCCAGTTCTTGCTGAGCAAGTAAGAAATGTTTGTTTGATTTCAAAGTTTTCCGGTCAGGAGACTTCAGACAAAGGGGAGCTTCATCACAGCCACGTATGTATTAGAATACTGGCTTTTAATTACATAGTCATTTCTATGGTGATAACGCTAACAGTTACGGTTAGAAGCCTGTTACATCCAACACAAAGACTGTAGAAGGACAACCCTTGATAAAAAAGTAAAAGTATGTCCTTTCTCTTCTGAGAAGGGTTAATTCATATCTTTCTGCTAAGATAATTGTGCTTTTCAAGTTAAATTCTTCACTTTTGCTTTTTCAAGTTTCTCCAAGGTTATGGATAATCATTTGTGAGAGTGGCTTTTTAATTTTTTCGGATGGGAGAGACTAAATGTAATGCTTGTGGAGGTGGTTATAACACTGCTGGCTGGCTGTGCTACAGGCGTGTTCTGGGTAGAGCTCAGAGCAGAGCTCTTCACAGTTACAGTGATGTAACTTATCACACATCTCTTATCTACACAGCCTGTCGCAGTGGCTGTGGTGGTAGTCTGAACAATAACGAGTCATCAAACCTTTTTTGGGTAGAATTCAGACACTTTAGGGGTCCCCAACAATGGTGATTTAGAATAATTCCGTGTGATCTCTTTGTTGTCCTAGAACCTGGCAGAATGCTTACCGAGCGTCCGGTGATTTAGAATAATTTTGTGTGATCTCTTTGTTCTAGAACCTGGCAGAATGCTTACCGAGCGTCACTCCAACACCCTCACCAGTTTTTTCTGAGGTGCATTTACCTCCAGCAGTGCCTTCTGTACCAGCCATCGTGCCAGCTTGGCCAAGTGAGCCAACAACCTATGGACCAGCAGGTTTGAAGAAATACTAATGTCAATCGGAAAGTACTAACCCCCAAAAATACTTCAACAGCCTTGCTAAATTGAAGATGCCTCCAGGAGACACCGTTTCCTATAACTTCACATTCCAAAGGGAGTCATTTATGGGAATGTAGTTTCTCACTGCTGAAAGCCAGTGAGAGCTCTGGTAGATCTTTGATTGCCCATTTGTATAGTTTGCTTTACCCTGTACCTCAAGGTGGAAGAGGGATGTGTATCCAACTCTGTTTTTCTCCTGAGTGGTGTAGTGTTGAGTTCTGAGGGGACTTATTCTGAGGATCTGCTCAAGGTAGAACCCATTGTCAGCGTGTTGAAGTGTTTGTGCTCTGTGTCCCCTGTAATAAGCTCTTTGATTCACCCAGGACTCAGCTTGGGTCTGGAATGTCTGGAACTAATGAGATCCAGTTGGACCCAGCTGCAGAGCCAGTATAAACCTTTTCCTGTTCTGTGTATATCTTCTGATATGTGGAATTAGCTTAGATTCAGTATTGCTCGTTAGATCAAGTGCTATATTTTTTCTCCTGCTGTTGTATTTCTGTACAAGAACCAGCTTTGGAGTCAGACCTGGCTCTAAATAACCAGAGTCAGAAGAAGAACTGCAGAGTCACATAAAAGTTTGTTTCCCACCCCCCCCTTTTTTCTTCCCATTTCCTATTTCCTTCTGGTATTCATAATTTTAAAAATAAATAAGGGAAGAGTTTATGGAAAGCTTAACTATTTCACTCTTTCTGAAGACTGTTCTCTGCATTTAGCCAAATCTTCTTTTATTTGTAACTTTCCAACTTCAGAATTTTCTCCTATGTCTTTCTGAATACAGTTGAGCTACGTTACAATGGTGTGGTTTTTTTTTTCCTTTGTAGGTATTCCACCCCAAATACCTGCTTCTTCATTGATGCCAGCCCCAGCAACGGGACCTGACTCTCTTGTATCACAGGCTCAGGTAACATCTGCTCCAGTTGCTGGAGTTCCCGTGTCTCTACAAGCAGTTAACCAGCCTTTAATGCCTTTGCCTCAGACTCTGAATCCTTATCAGGATCCTCTGTACCCTGGATTCCCTTTCAGTGAAAAGGGAGAAAGAGCTGTTGCACCCTCTTACTCCCTGTGCAATACTGGGGAAGACTTACCTAAAGGTGAGAAGCTAGAGGGAGGTCTGGATTTTATACCTCTTTTTTTTTTTTTTTTTTTTCCTAATAGGTTTTCTTTTCTTAAAATGTAGATAAAGACCGCTTCTTTGGTCCCGTTGTTAGTCTTTGTCAAGAGATCTAATTGTTGTCATTCCATGAGTTAAGGTATGGGAGGGAATATTGAATAGAGTGGTAACCCTTTAGTGTGCGTTGCTGACTTTGCGACTATTTTAAGTGGTTACACCTGGAAATTTGATAGGATCATTTTGTGGTTCTCAGCTTGACCCACCATAGCTTGAAGTTTCGTGACTGTAAAGGAGTTTTTTTGGAGAACTTTTGCAGTAACAGGTTTTCTCTTGTAATCAAAAGCTTGGAAGTTGCAGAGTATTTCCTTAGTGCCCTGGGAAAGTATAGATTTTGGCATAGTATGGGTAGGGAATATGCCCCATAAAGAACATACCACATCTGACTGCGTGGTGGTTTGTTGACTGAACTGCTGCCTCTTTAAAACCCTTAGAGGTTCAGTTCCACAAAGTGTTAGAACTGAAGTTTAAACTGCAGGAGCGTTCTGGATACGGTACCAAAAAAACACCCCCTAATCAATCAAAGACACCAAGCAGCAACTTAGTATCAGTGTTTCTCTACTGAAATGGAACTTTATGCAGGGGCTAATTTTTGGATCAGGTGAAGTGTAATATTTTAGGTCTTCATAGATCTTTTTTTGTTTTTTTTCCCTAGATAAGAATATTCTTCGATTTTTCTTCAATCTTGGTGTGAAGGTAACTCTTCAAACTTACTTAGGTTTTTTGTCTTTGTTATACCATAAAATTTGCTTGTCTTTGGTAGTACTCAGAGTGCAGAAGTTTGTTTGCTGCAGCTGTATGCTTCATCTCCTACACTTCATCTCAAGTTCATCTTTAGGTTTTAAATACTCTACTATTTAATCTTCTATGAACCAGGATCCCAAAACCGGTCCACGTTGAGGTTCAAGTCAGCAGGAATAGATTTTATCTCAACAGTGACAGTGAGAACTATTGGCTTCCAACTCTGGCTGTAGAACCAACAGGAATAGGGCTTTACAGATTCATGGGTAAACCATCGGGAGGTTGAAGAAGCATCGTGTGGGGTAAAAGAGAAAAGGCTCTCCTGGCTTTGACCACGTCTGTGTGCTGGCAAAGCCATTGCAGTGCAGATACCTGGTATCTGGGCTAGTTGTTTGCTTAGTTTTCTCCCTTCTGCACATAGAAATGTTCCTTTTTTACCTTTTCTTACTCCTCCTGTCAGGCAAATTACTTTGGGAAAAAGTGCTGAAAGCTCTTGGGCTTATTCCACATGACTTTGGCCATAAGTCATCATTTTCTTAGTAAGTTGTGCTTGAAGATTCCCTCTTTCCACGCACAGACACCAGATTTGGTAGCTGTGCCTAATACAAGTCTCTTTGCTTAATAGAAAATCCGTAAGCCATTAGCAAGAGTGACTGCAAGATATTTAAACCTTACTGGTACTTTGTATGACTCGGGGTATTTTGTGTTATTTCGGTGCTTCACCACCACCTACTGGTCAGAGGACCGTGTTTTAATCGTTTTGCCCCTCAGCTGGTGGCCAAATCCCATGGTAGGTAGCCCTGGGGACTACTTTCTGCATGACCCTGCCCACTCCTTTGGTGCTGGATCCTGCCATGCTGTTATCCACACTCTTCCAGCTGCTCCTTCGGAGTGAACCCACCAGTTCCTGTCGGGAGAAGGTTGGGGAAGGCTGCTCACAGCCAAGACCCTACCAGTTTTTGGGCTCTGCCCTCTACCTACTCCAATATTTTCTTAGCTGCCTCCAGCAGCCTTGCATGGTGTTCTCTGTGGCCTGAAAGACGTACATTTGGCACATCACATTATTAAAAACATCTTAAAATGTGGCTCTTGGGCCAGTTTTGAGGTACCACAGTATAGCCATGAGCCACGGCGTGCTGTCAGTTGACGTGGAAGTCGAGGAGACGGGCCAGTTTTGAGGTACCACAGTACAGCCGTGAGCCACGGGTGCTGTCAGTTGACGTGGAAGTCGAGGAGAAGGAAGGGGGTCACCACCTGAGGTGGATACTTCAGTTTTGTGAAGGTAGCTCCTGTTCACTAACAGCACAGAAGAGGTTGCTGCTGAAAACGGTGCGTTGTCCATTGTGTGACTCCCAGCAGGATCTGGAAATATATTGAGATCTATCCTCTCCATTATGGAAGGGCTTCTAAGCAAGCTCATCTGTGGGTTGTATGAACAGAGATAAGGATTTCAGCCTTTACAAATTGTCCTTGGGGCAACGATCTGACTTTGGGTCCTCGGTGTAGTCTGTTGTGTGTGTTTTGGTTTTTTGTTCTGTGGTTTTTCCGTTGGTTTGTGGAGTTTCTTAAGTGAAAATACACGTGGTATAATTTCTTGTTTTTGTTGTTGAAAAGTGAGCTAGTAGGGCAAATTGCTGATAAATAATGGTGATTCTGGAAAATGAATTTGAAATGGGTGTCTTCAAAGGCATAGCTAAAGCTTGACTTCATACCATCCTGTGTTTAACTAGTTAGAAATCATGTTACCAAGGTTTCTTCCTGGTTGTTACTGTTGCCCATTTCCACTGCATTTGGAAGGAAAACAGAAAATGAGAACACAACCTGTGTTCTCAGGTCCTCAATATCCCTCAGTTCCTCAATATCCCTTAGATATATTTTTTTAGAATTGAGGGGCAGTCACTAGAAATAAAATGACCCTTTACTTCCTGTAATTAATTGTTTCAAAATAGTGAATTACCTGTGTGCTGTGATGTCTGTCTGAATGTTCAAAAGAACCTTGTTTCAAAATAGTAAATTACCACCTGGCTGCTGTGATGTCTGTCTGAATGTTCAAAAGACCAAATACTTTTGTTTTGTTTTTTTTTCCTGTCTTGCAGGCGTACAGTTGTCCCATGTGGGCGCCCCATTCTTACTTGTACCCCCTGCATCAGGCCTATTTAGCTGCTTGTAGGATGTACCCCAACGTCTCCCTCCCGGTGTATCCCCATAACCCCTGGTTCCAGGAGGCTCCGCCGACTCCGAACGAGAGCGAAACGGGGCGGACAAACAGGCACTTTCCTCTTCAGGGCGAGGTCAGGTCCAACGGTCAGATCCCACCGGCTGACAGCAGGTCTCCATCGCTGCCTCTCCTCCTCCCCACAGCTCAGGTGTCAGAAAGCCAAGGCCAGGTCTGCGTGGAAGCGGAGAACGCGGTGCAAGCCCTTCACGCCAACTACGAGGAGTCCCTCAGAGGGAAAAACGTGTTCCCTCAGCCCCCCTTTGGACACAATCCCTTCCTGGGAGCCGTTCCAATAGCACCCCCTCCTTTCTTCCCTCACTTTTGGTACGGCTACCCCGTTCAGGGCTTCATTGAGAATTCAGTCGCGAGACCCAACGTCGTGATGTCACCCGAGGACAAAGAGGCGGCGGTGGCTGGCACCTCCACCAGCGTGTACATGGCCAAGGAGTGCAGCCCTCCGGTTCCTGGGGTCAACTGTGCACAACAGCTTCAGAAGACTCACAGCGGTGGTGGTGGCATCTCCAACACCATCCCGTTCCCTGCGGCTGGTGCCAGCGGTGAGTGCAGTGCCCCCAAGGAGACCCCAGCGAGGCCACCCCAGTTGGAGCAGAGTTGTCCTTTGGCTTCTCCCGCGAAGCAGAAGGCAGCTGGGCAGCCAAACCGTTCCCCACAAGCGCAGGGGAGCGAGAGGCAGACGGCGGTGGCCAACACCCCACCGCTGCTGGCAGAACCAGCAAAAAACGAACTGAAAAACAGCCTTTCCAGCCGAAAGGAGAAGACGGATAAAGGTCGGGATTCCAAGGGTGCTGGTAACGCGCAGGCGGAAAGCAGGGCCCAGAGAACGAGGGAGGAGAGCTCCGAGGACGAGAGCGAAGTCTCCGACATGCTGAGGAGCGGTAAATCCAAGCAGTTTTACAACCAGACTTATGGAGGAGGCAGAAGGCCGAGACTGGAGTGGGGTTATTCCAGCAGGGGAGGGTACCAGTTCCAAAGAAACGAGGAGACCTGGAAAGGAGCACCCGGCAGGAGCAGGGACGACGGCTACCAGTATCAGCGCAACTTCCGAGGGAGGCTCTACAGGAACGACAGGAGAAGGGCAACGCTGGGAGATAATCAGAGGGGGCATCAAACATAGAACGGAGGGAGAATCGAGAATTTCAAAACGCAAAAAGTAATTGGAAGTAGCAGTCGAAAAATCTTAATCTTTCTTTTTAGTAAAATTCAAGGATATGTTTAACTTTTGGTAAGTAAAGATTAGGAGAACGTGAAATCCTACCATATGGTTTTTTTGGGATTATAGTTTGTTTGGCTTAGCATTTTTTTCCTCGATGTCAAATTAGAAAAAATAAATAAATATAGGTTTAGTGTTTGATAATTAATTTTTTTTTCCCCAGAGAGGTTTGAGTTTGTGATAGAAGACGGATACGTACATTTACTAGTGACAAATTACAGCATTTGACGTGATCTAGATTCTAAAATTGATGGTAACATTGCACCAAATATAAATATATTTTATCATACAATGCCTTAGTTCTGAACTGAGCTAAAGGAATTCTCAGCCTACTGCACTGTTGTCTTTGATATGCTTCCAACCCAAAGGCCTTTCATCTCAAAAAAAAAGAAAAAAAAAAAAAGAAAAAAAAGAATAATCTGTCAAACTTGAATGTTTCTCTTCGGTGTGTTACACGTACGGCAGCCAGCTAACCCTGTGTCTTAGGTATGTTGTATATAGTTCTTTTAATATTCATAGGGTATATTTTTTGACTTTCAAAAAAAGCATTTATTTGTTGAAATTGAAATCAAGACAAGCAGTCAAGAATAGCTGTGTATGAATTGATAAGAATGGCTGTTTCCACCAAGAATTCTTAACGCTGGTGTGACTAGAATGGTGCCTATGCCAACTAAATAATTACAAAGACAATAAAAATGTAGATGCTATGCATTTCCAAAATAATTCTGCATCTGTTATAATAGCAGAAGTTTTTTTAATGCCACTTTAACACTAATGCACTGACAAATCCTAGATATTTTGTGAGGAGAGATGCATAAAGTACATGTTACGTTGTGGTTTTTTTTTTTTTTTAAGTTTGTATGGTCGAGCTACTGTTCAGTATTCTTTTGTTGTTGCACTGTTGATGCAAATGGACGTTTTGCATGTACAAACTCATTGCTGGAACTACTTTGAAAAAGCAAGGTGGAGAGTCTCGCTGTGCTCTCGCTCTTCCCTACCATTCAGAAGAAAAGAAGTGGCTTCTGCCTTATATTTTTTACACTGTGTCAGAGCTCCGATGCTGTTTCTTCTGACCCTGCCCCGCGGCGATCCCTGCAGCGTTCCCCTGGCCGTGGGGGGTGTGCAGCTGCTCCCCAGGCAGAGGCAGGGAGTGCAGGATTCACTCAGTCTGTAAAATTTCCCTGTTGTGTATATTTTTCTATCTCTCTCTGTACATAGTAGCCCAGGTGACGGTACCCTTCCCTCCCCATCCCAGATTGTACGCCCTCCATCAGGAAACTTTGAGTGATAGTTAACGTGATCAAGAACTTCTTTTCAGATGCATGCCATGTATAAAAACCCTACTTAAAATAAATGTTTGTCTTTCCACTTTTTTCTAAATTAATTTACGTATTTGCAACTGTTGCCGTGACTTTAAATGTATCCTTTTGTTCTGATAGAGCCACTTGTAGACAGGAGGAGGAGGAGTTGCTTTGTAGGCAAGCTGCAAACTAAAAGGGGATGTAAACTGGATTTCTAGTTCTTTTTCAAAAGGGGAGTGGGGGTTTTGTGTTTCATTTCGGTGTTTTTTTTTTGTTTTTTTTTTGTGATCTAAATGCTTTTCCATTCAGAAGAGTATTCAGGATTTGGAAAGAGGTGGTCTTCAGTTTTTCAGGTTGATTTAACAGATCATGGAACTGTGGTCCTCTCTTTACCTCTGCTACTTACAAAGACTTCAGAAGAGGCTTCTTGTCATCTTTGCTGGGAGGCTGTGAAGTGTAACTGCAGCTGTGGCCCACATCTCTCCAGCGGGCACTGAAATAATCATTCAGTACTAGAGCTGGCATTTCATGGTGAGCTTTGTTGCAAGACCAAAGCAGGTAGGGGTTTCTTTGGGAATTTCTTGGGAAACGGTGGAAAACAGGCAGAGCAGTGCTTTTAGAGTTGGTTTTTAAAAACTGACTGAAGGTATTTAAGCTACGCCTGTGCCCCATCTTGCTGCTCAACAACAGGGAAGGACTGAAATAGGCAGAAGTAATATTTTCTCCATCTTCACTAAAGTTAAGTACAGTTTCCTCCTTTTGCTGAACGACTTGTAGATTGATTGGCCAAACCCTTTACCCAGGGCAAGATGTTCTAGACTGCCGGATCCCACAGGTTAGTAATATTTAGCATATAATGAACTGAGATATACAGCTTCAGGTATTTGCTAAATCACATCTTTACCTTACCCTAATTAGGAGTAATTAATAGAAGATGCAGAGTTACTAACAGACATAATAGCTTAAAGGAAAACCATACCAAACCAACAAAACCCCCAAAAGATAAACCACTGCTGCTGCCTGTAACTTAGGAGGCAAAGATGTAAATTAAGAACATGCAACTGTTGCATGGAAAATACTGTTTCTTACTTTTAAGATACATAGCTCCAAGTTATTTTTACATCTGTGAATCTTGTGTAACAACTGTACTCTGAAATAGAGGCACTCTTCCCACTGTCTTCCTGAAGGACCTTTCTATAGAAATCAATTTTAACATGTTATTTTTTATTTAGCTTCATTTTTTTTTCTATAGTAAGGATCAAGGCTTTCACTTTAGGCAAAAGTACTTCTTGCATCTTAAACTTGTAGAAACTTAATCTTTCCATGGAAACATGGTGGGTGCCAGCAGTTACCGACAAAGGAGTTGGTCAGTAAGTCTGAAGGGGGAATCCCTTTTAGGCTTTTTCCCTACCCAAGAGCACCAGTTACCTTTCTAGAAACCCCAGCTTTGTTGCTGGAAGTGCTGTGTATTGTGTCCCTGAAAATGGCAGGTTTTGAGAACGTTTAACCTACTAAATGATGCTTGATTTTTAACGTGCTTCTAAAGACTGATGGCATCTTAATCTTGAAGTAGAGAGTGCTACCGTGACACGGTCGCAGAGGAGAATCACTGTGTTACAGTTGACTCTAACCAGGAGTAGGATGGTTTAGTGAAGTGCAGTAGCTGTTTGCAAAGTTGAAACGTGCTGCTTTGCTTCTCCTCAGATAATCAGTACAACACAAGGGGCTCACTTACCTGTCATCTTGGAAACATCTGCTTTGGTTCTGTAAATCCCCTATTAGAGGGCTATTGGAGCCCTTGGAGACAAAATATGCTTTGCTGTATATATAAGGAACCTTACTCTGTCCAGCTTTTTAGAAAATCCCTAAATACAGGTACACCCTGTGCTGGGAGACAAGCTCTCCCTACCTTCTTTAATCCTTAACAAGAGCTGTATATTGATGATTGATTTGTTACAAGCTTTTAGCCAAGCGTTCTTCTCTGTGGTTCTATCATGGTACAGGAGGAGGGTTTGGCTGACAAGGTGTCAGTACTTTGTGAAATCCATGGCTTTGTTACTCAAAAACCTACTTCCTATGGTATATGGTCAAGTTTGTAGAACAAGCAAGTGGGAAAACCAGTCATTAACCTTTCCTTGCTCTGCAGATTTAAGTTACAGAAGATTGAAAGGATTTTAGTATGTTCTTTAAGACTTTATTTAGCTGATTACTCTTGTAAGAAGATGCACAGGGACAGATGACTAAAAAAGGTGTAGATCTCTTCCTTGATACTGTTATATGTAGTTTGTACCCCATCTTTTGTGTGTCCTTTCTATAGTATGAGAAAAGTTGTGCCTGAAAACAGACTTTTGAATTACTAATTGAAGAATTTTTGCACTGTCACAGAAGAGCTGTAAGTTAGGAGGATATTTATTTACGAAACCCTCATCCAGAAAGATTCAGCCTTTTTAAAAGAGTTGTTTCTTTATCTTGACATCCTTGGTAAGCCTCCCAGCTTTGAAGATATTTAAAATGAGGAAGTTCAGTCAGTACTTGGTACATGAGTAGGATATATTGAATTGAAAACCTCCCTTAAAATTTGAAAAATCTGGAGACTCATTTGCACAATTTTGAGGTGGTCTATTTTGAAATTATTACACTGAAAATAGGGCTGTGTCACCAAAATATAGAAAGTGGCAGTTTTACTCAGACTAGGATTTACACTGCTACTGTTCTCAGATCTTACTTGCAGCAAGAGATTTTAAGCTCCAAAAGATGAAGTGCTCTAAAACCTGATTGAGCCTTCTCATCCAGAAATGTTTAGATTCCAATATGCATTTTTATACGCTGGTACAAAGATGCTCAGATTCACTATTTAGTCATCCAGGAAAAAGTAGTTTCCACTCTTCTTTTGTTCCACATCCTTGGGAAGAGAAAAAAAGGCCAAAGTTACTTGAAGCAGTCTTTGGCAGACTTGAACATAGCTGAAATAGAAGAAATTTAACTCCTTTCTACTTTCCTTATTACTCTTAGTACTTATTTCATGTGCTGTCTTTGAGCACAGCAAAACTACCAGATTAATCTTCATTTTGTTCCTTATTTTAAAACCTGGATTGATATTAAACAGTCACAGCTTCTTTACTGTGAAGGTGCTTCTCTCTTACCTTGATTGAATTGAGTTTGTTTATTCTTGGTCTGTAATTGTTGGGGTCTCTTCTAAAAGTGATTTCAAGTTGAGATAAAAACTTATTCATTCCAGCCAGGAGAGTCTGTGGACTGTTAAGAGAGAAGAACAGGCAGCTTTGATCTCCATCCTGAATGTGTTTGAGTCTGGTAACACAAGTGTGAGCTGTACTTGACAACACTCACTACATTTCAGGCTACATTTTCAGTCAAATCATGTCTCGGCCAAGAAGTCATAAGCACTACTCTCAGTGTTCTGCAGCATCTCAGCAGGGTGCTACAAGGCCAGGTTGCTACCTTTACGTTGATTTTGCCTCCACATGTGTGTGTGCTGGTACGTCTGGTTATTTACACTGCTACCTTTACTTTGATTTTGCCTCCACACACGTGTGTGTGCTGGTACGTCTGGTTATTTACATTCAGTGAAAAAAACAGAGCTGCACCATTAGCCAGATAAAACAAAAATCATAACATGCTGAGAAACACTTATGTGATCATGATTTTTTAATTCAAACAAGTGTGTTCTTAGAAGGAACACCACCAATACCATAAACACAGTAAACCCATTGCTAGACTGATGTTTTTACTTCATCCGGCTCGCGTTAAGTACTTGGAAGTTACACTGTTCTAAAAGCCTGGTTTACAATAAGGCTGCTCCTCAGAAAGTCTCTGTAATTTACCTAAGATTACTGACAGGAACAAAAGCAGACATATCACAAGGGACAGCTCTGAAAGAGTAAAAATCAGAGCTAGTGTGCACTGTATGTTGCAGTCAAGCCTTGCACTTCACAAGACCCGCATACGTGTACCCTTAGTGCCTGGCTTTCTTTTCATACAGCTGAAAGTTATTTTTACACGGGTACTTTTTCTTTCCTCACAATCCATGCCACTTATTTGTTCTCTGCTGATTGCAATTTAATTGGTGTGCAGTTGCTTAAGGCTAGTTGAAGCCAGGAGCTGGTCTAGTTTTTGAGGGCTTGGTTACATTCTCCAACTATGCCCCAGCTCTGTGTCTAGGCAGCCTCCAAGTGTGGGCCAATATTATTTTCTTTCCCTTGCTTCAAAACAAAAAGCCAAAACCCTCAGGACACTCTTGGATAACTTGGATAAGTGCAGCTTATGTTTCCACAGACAAGGATGCTTCACCTCATTGTTATTGATGTTTATGATAAATTATTTTTCTACATTGTCCTCTTGCTTACTAATCTGAACAATCTCTTACCTGTTGGCAAGTGTGTTCTTGGAAGGGATACCATCAAATACAATCACGCGATCAGCAAGGTACGTAGCCATGATAAAATCATGTTCTACCACAAAAGCTGTTTTTTTAGCATGGAGAATGAAACTGAAATAGAAATACAAAAAAAAATGAGGGAGCTGAATGTAAACTTACTGTAAAACTACTAAAATATTTCAGGGATTTTTGCCATCATGCAGACTTTACCGTTTAATGACTCGAGCAGCCATTAGACGTTGTTCAGAGTCCAGATACGCGGAAGGTTCGTCAATCAGGTAGACATCTGCAGGTTTTCCAAGACAAAGAGCTAACGCAACGCGCTGCAACTCCCCACCAGACAATGTCTGAACCTGTGGGGGCAGGAGAGTGGGAACAAGGCCATATTTAGTTGAGGTACATGTAGAGAATGAAAGAATAGAAGTCAGGATCTTGTCTCGGGCAATTCATACCTCCTGGTCAATGATGTTTTCTATCTGAAGAGGTTTCATGACATCAGTTACAAACTGGGGGTGTGTATAGGCATCTCTGATCTTCTCATGCAGGAGCTGACGGACGCTCCCCTAGTAAGAGAAAAATGTTGTCACTTAGTTTTATGCACCAAAACAAAAAGAAATAAAAAATGAGAGCTTTTTGTTCTGGGCATAAAGAGATTCTACCTGCGTGCTACGAACATGC